CTTAGAAGGAGCTTGCTGAAAAGTTACTTGTAAGTTAGTTTTGTCTTGTGTCAAGTGTCCCAAGACATTTGCACTAAAAAAAATTTCCAGATACTCAGTAAGATTTTTCAGTTTTTTGCAGTGTAAGTCCAAGTAGCTGCACTTGATTCTTACACCTTTGTTACTCATATAATGCCATCCATGTTTTAGATTAGTACACTGGCTTGCTTTCGATTATAGAACAAAATTTGAAATGTTGTTTGCTTAGAAATCTATAAAATGCATAGGGCAAAAATACATTTATGAAGCTACTAGAACTCTGTAATCAGAGTTAGAACCAAAGGGTGACAGCTTTCATCCATTATGTTTGTGATATAAAACATCAGATATTTCACAATGTGATATTAACATACATTAAAAAAAAACCTTACATAACATTCTATTAAAGCACAACGTACAGCGGCCCCAAAGAAAACTTACAATATTCAATTATGTCGCATGAACTGATCAGTATATTATCGCAAGGGAACGCAAAAGAACAAATTTTCCCCATGTCCTCTGGCGTGCTCCATATATTTTAATGCATCTGTTTTGTCATGTATGCACTTTTAAATTTTCTGAATATGAAATGTGGTACACAAATTTTTTTTTCCTTGTCTGAGGAGAAATATTTTCAAAATTTACTGAGGAGGTGAAGACTTCAATACAATCAAAATCCTTTTAATCCCCACTACTTTGCATCTCCAACATATATCTTTGGTTACAAAGAATGTTTGAGCTATGCTAAAATTTGTGATTAATGTTGTAATTATAAGCAAATTCTGATTAAGTTTACACACTTATTTTAGGGTACGTGCTGATCAAGGGGTGGAAAATGTGGACGTGGCACGACTTATGTTTATGATTCGTGGAACAGGAAGAAGCAGTTTCCTATCTGGGAAGAGTGTGCACAATCAAAGGTTTGTACAAATGACAAGTTTCAATATGTGACACTTTTCAATGTCTATAGTAACATTAGCTTTGTTCGTTCATCACGTGACAAGATTTGAAGGGCAGTTTTTAACCATTTATTACTCCATAATTGAAGGATTGAGAGACTCTGGAGAGATCTGTGGACAGCTGTAACGTCCATCTATTACGATGTGCTACACTACCTTGAAGAAGAGGGATACCTCAACATTTCAAATGAAACACACCTCTTCTGCTGCCATTATGTCTTCCTGCCACGTCTGCAGGAAGATCTTGATACTTTCCGCAGTGGCTGGGACAATCATCCACTTCGAACGGAAAGCAACATGACTCCTAACCAGCTCTGGGTTCTTGGTCGAACACACCATCCAATTCCTGAACCCCACAGTGCCTTGACAGAGGTACATTTTAATTGGATAATTTAATGTTAAGCATGTATACTATCATTCACTTAATTTGTAACATAGCAGTCTGCAATCATCAAGTAAATTTTGAGTTCTCTTGATCCCTTCTTTGTGTTTTCCAGGGTGTACAGATTCCCGAAATTGAATGGGAGGAGAGCGGGCTTCCTCTTCAGGAAGAGTCAAATGTCACAGTGCCAAATTTGAATATGCAACTGACTGACGAACAAATGGCAGCCTTAACAGACGCAGTAAACCCAAAAGACACATCACTGTCTTTTGGTTGTGACATTTACATTGCTGCAGTTCAGTTTTGTGAACAGTTCTTTACTCTGTGAAACTTGTCCAGTTTCAAAATTTAGCATTTATGAAATGTAAAACTAAGTGCTGATCATATTASCACAAAGGTAAAATTTGTGCTTTGGAAAAGTGAATTATAGTGCTTTTATGGTAGACATGTTAAAGAACTACAATGTTCTAAATTTGTGAGTTGATTATTTTTTCTTTACTCAAAAGGAACCTCTAGTWGGTACATTTGTGTAGGACCTTAATTTTCTTGCATTATAAGAATCAGAAAGTTAAGTTTGTCTTATGTCATTTATTTTCTAATACATCAAGCATAGGTGAACATTCAATAAAATATTGCATAAAAACAATTTGTTTCATATTTCCTGTAGAAACAGTGCTGACTTAGAAACTGAACATAGTTACTCTAACATTTAAGATTTACAGGGATGTTTGACAAACATTTCAGGTACTTAGTCGTCACTTNCTTTTTCCCTGTGCCATTCCACATTATTACAAATAACTTCATTTCTGGACATTTATGGTTTGATTTCTTTGTATGTATGGATCACTTGGGTTGTTACCGGCATCTGGTGAAAATTTCTTGTCATTAGCACCTCTAGTAATATATTTACTAAGAAAAATGGTGACGTGTTCAATACTTATTTTACCCGCTGTATATCTTCAATTACATTTTGAGAAACCAAAATACCTCTTTGAGATTAATCTAATTACATTCTGACTACTGGTAGTAAAATGAATCAGATTTATGTTCAGTTGTAAGAAGACTCCTGTTGAAGATACTGTATATATTTTAAATTGACATCAATATTCAAGATATCTTYAAAGGTATGTTTAGATATGAGAGAATCTGGGTGAAGACAGACCTGAGGAACCAGCTGCATGGGGATKATCTGGCAGCTTGCATGCTACTCAGCATCACTGGACCCCCTCTGACTGAGTTCCCATCCAACAGGTCATTGGAGCTCTTTTTTCAAGAAGCCCAGAAATATAAAATGCTCTCAGCCAGGCTACAGACTGTGCCATTAGATTAGACCTACTACAGTACAGGTGTAATTTCAGTTGTACAGTGTGAATATAATGAATAACAGTTTTTAAACTAACATTCAGATTGATATGAGCATAATTAAATCCATGTTGTTCTTCTGTTGTGTCACTAGCAACACCCCCCACTCCCCATTAATTTGTAA